ATGGGAATTGGGAAAAAGTTCATAACCAAATTAGCCCAGATTGCTTATGCTGAAGATATGGCGCGTATCGATTTATCTATTTTGGATTGGAATCAGTTATCCATCGATTTTCACCAGTCACTTGGAGCTGTTAACTTGTCAAATAAAGAGGGTTGGAATTATTTTCGATTCAATAAGAACAGTATTCAACAATTAGCTAATAAAACCAAGGAATCAAAACATAAAACTCATCAGATCCGAGAAGCTGTTAAAGATGATTGTCATCAAATTATTGAATTAATCAAAATGTTTGCTCGTTATTTAAGCATGGAGGATGCGGTGAAAATTGATACTGAGACTTTTATTCGGGATGGTTTTACTGAAAACAAACCTCCAAGTTTTAAATGCTTAGTATCTCATGATGCCAATAACAAATTATCTGGTTATTTAATCTACTATTACACTTACTCAACATACGAAGGCCGATGTATTCACATGGAAGACATCTTTGTTGATCCGCAATTCAGAAAAATGGGAATTGGGACAAAGTTGATAACAAAATTAGCTCAGATTGCTTATGCTGAAAATACATGTATTGCCCGTATTGATTTTCTTATTCTGGATTGGAATCAATTATCCATGGATTTTCATCAGTCACTTGGAGCTTTTAACTTGTCAGAGAAACAAAAACGGACAGCTTTCCGATTCGATAAAAACAGTATTCAACAATTAGCAACGAATTGCCAAAACATTTTGAAAGATTAGCTGAGTAGTTAGTAAAAGTCCGGAACAGTTCCAAAACTGTTTTACCGGACCAAAACTGTTTTTCTGGGCCAGGCCACTCTAGGCCAAAGCCCGGGTCTGAACCAAAAAAAAATTGTCGACTCTGAGCCAAAAATTGAGCATGCGCAAGCATGGAGTCAAGCTATATAACAACCTCTTTATTTTCAAATCCACACTAAAAATGGATTGGTTAACATATAAGAATGTAGTTGGGTTCATAATGATCCTAATCATTATCTTTGTTTTATTAGTTCGAACTTTTTATCATCCTACAAATAATCATGTCGTCAAACTCGCATAGTTATACGATTGATAATATTGTGAGTCTATGGAAAATAGACGGATCAATTAAATTAGATATCGATAATTCTAAGCGTAAAAAGAAATTCAATGCCCAAGTGATTCGTAAAAGTGGGGTTTTCTTAGTTTTCGCGTCGGGAAAAGTCATAGCTACAGGCTTTAAAGATGTAACTAAAGCCGGAGCAACATTACAAGAAATTTATCCAGACAACAAAGTTAGCTTTGTCAAAGTTGTTAACATTACTGCTCACAGCTTTGTACCATATACATTCAACATAAGAGAACTGATAGACTCTTATGATGATACAACATACGAACCTGAGATTTATCCAGCAGTTTACATCAAGCTTAATGGATTAACATTGATATATTACTCAACCGGGTCTATCATAATAACAGGAGCTAAAGAGCTGCCTCAGATAGATGATGCGCTTGCGCAATTCTCTCGAAGGACAGTCCAGATGGGGATATAAAGAAGAGAGCAGAGCTCTGAGAGCTCATTTCTTCTTCAACCTTCAAGCAAGATGATTTGGAAACATAGTAAACCTCTTGTGAATAACCAAGCAACATTACGTATTTGTTTTTCTTATGATGAAAATGATCAAATCGTTTGTAAAAGAATCGACATTCGTCACTTCTTCGAAAATAAACCGACAAAATATGGTATTTCAATTTGTGCCTCACAGTTTGAATTTATAATTCGCCATGTGCAAAAGTTCCTAGCTGATAACAACACTCCAGATGACGCTTTCTTCAACATTACCATCAACAAGATATCAGATAAAAGGATTAAAATAAGTGGTGAGAAGACTTTGATAATTACAAGCTCTGACTTTTGGCAAGAAGTGCTCCCTCTTGTTCCTGCTTTAATTTTCTGTTTGAAAACTAAAGAGCTACCAATTCGTCAGCTGATGGATCTTTATTTATGTTCAAAAGCTGTACCTAAGGAATGCCTGTTGAAAAAGAAGTGGAGTGATAAAAAAGTGAAACATCCTTGTGAAGCTAATTGTATTTTACTTCACCTTGGTTTAATACGCTGCGGTGACTTAAGATGGCGCGAGATTGATTATGCAGAACTCAATAAGTTCTCTTCGAGTGAGTCATTTGACTCCCTTGCTCTTCTACAGTATATATAAGTAGCGCTGCACTTCGATCATTTCATTTAGTCTTCAAACGTCAAACAGTCAACATGGATATCATCTGTGCCTATTTTGATACACAAGGATTCTCCGTCGATGGTACATTTCTACCTCGTGAAATCTGCTTATTAAATGACAGTGCAACAATAAATTTAATGGTGGATCAAATATATAGTAAACCAACGGATAAGGAAAAAATTCAAATCGAATATTTGACCAACAAATTCCATGGACTTGAACTTGTCCCAAAAGCTTCAGTTAAAGAGGACTATGCTAAAACTTTGATAAAGTTATTCTATGAATTTTCCAGAGATGGTCGAAAGTATTATATGGCTTGTAAATCGAAAGAGTCAGAAAATTATCTTACCGAGCTTCATATTCCTGTTCTAAATATTTTGCAAGTATACGGAGCAACACATAAAACTATCAATCGCGACCAAAAACCTTGTACCTTTCATAATCGTGATGATAATTACCTTAAATGTTCATTGAATATTGTTCAAGACATGAAAATATTCATTGATAATATGGACATCGGTCGAATTGAACATGATTAATTTGTTTAAGAAACATAATAAAAATTGTTTGCAAACTAAAAATGAAGCCTTATTTTATTTATTTACATCATCCATTTACAATGTTAGTTGCTGGTCCAACTGGTTCGGGAAAAACCAGATGGATTACGCAATTGATTTCAGGCGCGAATAAATTCTCATCTCCTCAGCCACAAAAAATAACTTATTTTTATGGTGAGTACCAGAGTATTTTCAGTTCGGTAAAAGGAGTAAACTTTATTAAAGGTTTACCCGAAAACTTGATTGAAAAATTTGACGGAACAGTACCTGAATGGATTATCATCGATGATCTAATGTCTGAGTCAACAAACTCTAAAATTATCAGTGAACTATTCACTAAAGGTTCACATCACCGTAATCTTTCGGTGATCCTCATTGTTCAAAATTTCTTTACAAGAGGTAAAGAAAGTAGAAACATATCTTTGAATTCACAATACATTGTATTATTCAAAAATCCACGGGATCAATCAATTATCACAAGTATCGGTAGACAAATGTTACCCGGTAAAGTCAGCAAATTACAAGCCATCTATGAAGATGCTACCTCAGCACCCTATTCATACTTATTCGTCGACTTAAAACCTGAAACTCCAATGGAAGTTAGATTTCTATCTAATGTTTTAGGCGAGAAGGACTACATTACAACATACTTAGTATAAGAATACAAACATTTACAGTTCATGAAAAATGACAGTAAAGACCGCAATCAAATGCTTACCTAGCCTGAAAGCGCTAGCAAAAGCGAAAACTAATAAGCAAAGAAAACTCATTCTTGATCACGCCAACAAGTGCATTTACAGCGTAATTGCTGAAATTGCAAGAGAAACCTTGAAAGGTACTTTTGATTTATCAGAACAACGTAAAAATAAACTAAAACCGTATAAGAAGCATATACGTGCACTAGCAAGAAAATCTAATCCTACCACTAAAAAGAAAATTATCAATCAACAAGGTGGATTTCTACCCGGATTACTTGTTCCAGCAATCACTTTACTCGCAAATTTAGCTGCAAGATGAATTCAGTTACACGTATGTTCATGGTTTCTGAAGATTACTTCAGACGTAATTGCGAGAAACCAACCGTAACTAATCGACTGTTAAATACAAATATTCCCGTTGATACACAAATTAAATTACTCAATGATTTTGTTTCAAGAACAAAAGATAATTTCCCTAATCAGCCAGCTACTTCATTTCAATACAAAGATGAACCTAAAGAATATGAAGAGGAAGATTTCCCTCGTGAAAGCGTTTATGAAACGCCTCCACCAAATCCGGCATGGGCAACACCTGCACCTGCACCAAAACCGGCATGGGCACGAAGTCTAATACCTGCGACGCCTGTACGTCAAACTCCAGCGAAATTAGAAATGGCTTTAAGAAATATTCCCGGACTTTTCAATAAGAAAGGTGAAGTTTTAAGGTCTGGTGGTGATAAGGTATATGGTAGTAGATTGAGCAAGATTGTAGATCATTTAACTAAGGATGCTACCGTTCCACTACCTAACGGAGGCCCTACTGTTATTCGTAGAATAAGACGAGAGTATCCTCATTTAGTAAAGCATATTAGAAATCCGCGTGCAATTGACATGATAACGACAAAGAAGAGATGGAATTAAGCAAAATATATTTCGATCCTAAATCACCCGGTTCATTCGGTGGAGTTAAAAAATTGTATCAAGTAGCGAAAGAAATTAATCCAAAAATCAAGTTCAAAGAAGTTGATGCTTGGATTAGAGATCAAGATACTTATAATCTATTTAGAAGATCAATAAAAAAATTTCCAAGATTACCTATTCTAGTTGATAGAATAGATGAACAATGGCAAGCTGATATTATGGATATGACTTGGTTAGCTAAATCAAACAATAATATTAAATACTTATTAAATGTTATTGATTGTCTAAGTCGATATGCGTGGAGTATTCCTTTAAAAGATAAATCTGCCTTATCGGTTATCAATGCATTCCGTAAAATTGAAAGAAAACCTGAAAAACTACAAACTGATCAAGGAAAAGAGTTTGTAAATCGTTACTTGAAAGAATACTTAACAAATAATAATGTTAATCATTTCACATCAACAGATGATGTGATTAAATGTGCGATAGTTGAAAGATTCAACCGTACATTACGAACAAGGATTTACAGATACATGCACTTTAAAAACAGTCAACGATATATTGATACTTTGGATGAAATTATCGATGCATATAATTCATCTTACCATCGAACAATCAAAATGTCACCTAAACAAGCATTGCTTTATCCAAGCAAAGCACTTAGTAATATCTTCAAAGCACAAAAGAAAAATATGAAGAAACAAACTGCATATAAAGTTGGTGATTTCGTAAGAATAACTCGCGCTAAATCTATTTTCGAAAAAGGTGCGACCTCAAATTGGACAGAAGAATTATTCAAAATAATCAAAGTAAAGAAAACACCTCAAGGATACATTTATAGATTAGTTGATTGGAGCGATGAACCAATCACATCAGTATTTTATCACGATGAGATATTTCCTGTTAAAGAACCACATCTGTATAAGATTGAAAAAATCCTTAGAGAACGCATAAATCCTGTTACAAAGAAAAAAGAATATTTCGTTAAATGGTTAGGTTATCCTAATAAATTCAATAGCTGGGTAGAAAATGTCGAGTGAATACTTTGTTGATGTTGTATCAAACGCAAGTATGGAAACTTACCCTGACAACACAATATCTAAATTCACTAATCGACTTGCAACTCCATTGCATCTCGATGGCGAATGGTCAGTAGCAGTTCAAGAAGTATTTTACCCATTGTCACATAAACCGATCAAGAGATCAATCAATTATTTCATCTCTTATCGAGGGAGGAGGCCAACCGTATCAATTGACTTTGATTATCAAGAAAATGATGATGTCGAAGGCATGTTGAAAAAGCTGAACAAAAGCATAGCTGATTCTCATCTACAGATTGGTTTAAGTGGTATCAATGTACAAAAAGATTTCAAACCCCCTGAATTAGTTCTAATCACTGAAGGAGAGCCTACTAAACAAAAGAAAAAAGTAGTTATTAAAGCCGGAAGAATTCCTGATGTTGATAAAGGAGTTTACCCTATTTTCTCCGATCACACATTCATACGAGCTTTAGGATTTGATAATAATACATTCGCTAGCGAGATGCAGAGGGCTGTAGCCGAAAGTGAGGAAGAGATTAAAGCTCCAAATCAACCTGATCTTGGACCTAAATCACATTTGATGTTCATCTATTCAGATATTATCCATGCACATTTACTTGGGGATATTTCAGCAAGAGTACTAAGAGTAGTACCTCTCAATCGTGAACCTAGTGATAAACTTGGTCACATGACTTTCACTTCACCTTATTATTATCCTGTACGTTCAAACAAAATCGAAGATGTAAGTATTGTCTTATGCGATGAAACCGGTAACCAGATTAGATTCAAAACCGGTCGTGTTTTTCTCAGCTTACATTTCAAGAAAACTGTATAAGAATAAATAAAATATGATTATATTAAAAAAAAATGAATCGTAAAATTTATTGTCCGTGTGATAGTGATTTCACTCAACATTACCGATCCCAAGCAGGCAATGGATACTCTGATATTACGTTATATCGAGGACAGCCTTACCAGCGAGGATATGGTTGGTATTTTCTCATGATGGAGTACTTACATGAATCTTCATTACCTTCAAGCAAGTCTGAGTTACAGGTATTCACTATACCTCCTACTCAAACTGCAATTGAGTCAAGCTATGAAGTCGAATATCGACCGGTTTCTAGTCTTGAATCAAGTAATTTCTACGAAATAAATGTTCCTTCAAGTGAAGATTTTACTGATTTAGCATCTACAATGATACATTTGAATGTTGTTGTTACAACCAATACTCATTTAGCATTAGCAGAAGAAAACCATGTGCGAGCTGTAGAGAATTTCGGAAATGCAATGTTCGAGCAGATCGACGTTTTCCTAGGTTCGGTTAATACTGTCCAAGCAAATAACATGTACCATTATCAATCATATCTCGAAGACTTATTATTCAGGCACCCTAATTTCTGTGACTCGGGAAGTCAAGTAACAGAAACTGATTTACGTCAACCTTTCGATTTATTTTTCCGTTTGCATTCATCAATATGCGAACAGGATAAATTGCTACTGAATGGTGTACCTTTAACTTTTAGATTCACTAAAAGTCCATCAGGTTTCCCATTGATCTCCCCTGATGTGACTGAATATAAATTCACAATCAAAAAGTTTTCTCTTTTTATCAAAAGAGTCAAGCTTTTCCCCGAAGCACATAAGAGTTTACTTCAAGGTTTGGATAAAGGTGCTGCTAAATATTTCATTACAAGAAATGATACTCGAAGTTTCGCTATTTCAGCAGGACAAACATCAGTATCAATTGAAAACATTTTCAATGGCGTTCTACCACGTCGAATACTTATTGGTCTCGTAAAAGATTCAGCTCATTCAGGCTCTATTAAAGAGAACCCATTTGATTTTCTAAACTTTAAAACTAACTATATCGCATTATCAGTTGATGGACATACTGTTCCGAGTATACCGTATACTCCTAATTTTGCTGAAAATTTATTTGCGAGGGAATTCATCAACCTTTATCGATGTTTCAATCAAGATGAAGGAATCCCTCAATTAAATTTATCTAAGGAGTCTTATTTATCAAACTCAACTTTATTTGCCTTTGACCTAACCCCTGATGGAAGTATTGGGGCTGAAAATGGAACTTTATCTCTGATTAAAAGAGGGAATATAAGACTTGATATTAAGTTTACTGCTAAACTTGATGTTTCAATTAAAGCAATTGTGTTTGCACAATTTGATAATTTGATCACTATTGATAAAGACCGAGTTGTACGATTGGATTACTAAAATGCTAACTACAATCGAGATTGAAAACTTACTAAAAGATGTTCCTTGGTTCAATGGGGTTTACGCACTTGATCAACTGCCACGATGGATACTTGCTCCTAGTTCAGTTATAATTAACCTTGATGAAAGTTACAAACCTGGAAGCCATTGGGTAGCCGTTTACTTTGACAAGAATAAAGTAGCTCATTACTTTGATTCTTTTGGAAGACGACCACAAGGAAATATACTTACCTTTGTAGAAGCTAATTCTGATTACTATATTTATAATCCTATCAAGTATCAAGGCAATTTATCAATTGCTTGTGGATACTTTTGTATTCTATTTGTTCTATCAGTTAATTCCCTTAACTCATTCTATAAACTTTTCCGTAAATGTAAACACGAAAGTAATGAAAAGACATTATTTCAACAATTGAAAAAATATTTAATGTGAATAAAATTTTTTTTTGCGCTCAAATTCTCTTGTTATTTCTTACAGTACAAATTTAGAAAACAATTTAACAAAATTTTAAAAAAAATGTTAGTAATTTTAATAAAAATCAGTTATTGAATATCATGATGTCCGTATGCCAGAGATTTTAATGGATCCACCCAATACCTCTTGTCTTCGAGAGAAGATATAGTTGTCTTTTGTCGTCTTATCATCTGAATATTGTGGCGATCAGATTGCAGTGTAGTGGTTACATCTCTTCTTGTATCATGATTGTAAAGACAATCGAGATAATCTTGAAATGTGATTCTATTTTTCAGAATTGGTCTTGGTACACCTCTTGCTCTTTTGATAACTTCTTCGCAAATCCTCAATGCATAAAGTTTAGGCTTTATTCCGATAAACTCGGATATCTGCTTGCCTGCCATCTCATCTTTGAGGTAGCCGATTTTTTTATTATTATTATTCGAATACAAGGGATGGCCTTTTGGATAGTTTGAGAAGTCCATGATGTTAGCGAATTGTCTCATATCAGCGACAATATCTTCAGACTTGATTTCATAAATGAAGGAATCTGTATCAGTGTATACAAGACTAATATTTGATTTATAATACGGTTTGAATGTATCGTAATGAAGTTGATACATCTTCAGTTTGGCCAGTTCGAGAATAGTAAAACCAACAGCGATCGGTTTATCCATTACAACAGAGAGTTTCTTTAGGGAAAATAACATCTTGTTATCATCGAGTATAATGAATTTATCACAAGTTTCATTTTTAAGTAATCTTTGAGCTTCAACATCTTGAAGTGCGATCTTAACAATCCGATGCTTTCTCTTATCTTCGATCATTTTCCCGTAAATTGAGTTGACTAGCAACTTCCAAAAATCTTTTTCGAAATCAGTCACGGCTGCTTGTCTCTTTGTTGTGCAGAAAGAAACATAATCAGCAAGCCAAGATGATTGTTTGAATTCAATAGCACGATGAAGCTTTACTACCTTCATTCCATGTGAATGATAGAATTTCAAATTTCGATAATGAACAACATATCGAATTTTCTTGTAAAAATTATTTGTCAATTTAGCAGTTTTGATTCTTTTGTATCCGCGACCTTTAAGCTCATCCAGTAGATCTTTTTGATATTGACTATACATATCGGGAGTTATTTCCATTTTCTCCGGAGCCAATGGAAAATCATTATGATCATCGTGGAGTTCACAAGGATATTCGATATCAACTTCAAGGATGAAACCGATTTCGGAATCATCAGGAGTGGTGAGTATCTCTTCAATGGTTCTAGAAGACCATTTGAAATGTGATTTCGGTAGTTTTTCCGACATCGCATATCCGTAAAGATTGTTAACATCCAAGTACAGCAGAAAAGATGTTTGCTTACTTGGATCGTAATCAGGTAAGTACTGATTATTTGCTCGCACATGACGCTTAACTACCGATGTGGGTCCACCTCTGATACCTTTCTCTACCATCAAAAACATATTAAAATCGGTTAGAAGTTCAAGTTCAATCTTCATTTTCTTGAACGCTGCAGACCAAGTTAACCCGGGTGCTGAAAATTGATGAAGAGGGTCTAATGCGAAATTAAAGAGAGACATCTCTCGAAAATTCTCAAAAACCGATGCAAGTAGTAATACATCTACTTTAAGGTAGATATCGTGGAGATCTTTCAATGTTGAGCAGTTAAACTTTGACCAAACCTTCTTTACATTTTCATAGAGCTCATCTGATATGTTCGACTGGGTTAAGGAAGAAAAAAATGCTGACTTATCTGGTAACGCTGTTTCATTGAAAACATCGAGAGATGATAAGTACTCATATGGAAGAGCACTTTTTCTTAGAAGAAGAGAAGTGTCGATATCTCCAAAAACTTGTTTCAAATAATAATCTTTCTTATCTGTTGGAACATTAGCAGCTAAATTGTCCAAGCTAGATGAAAGGAAAGCGAAGCTATCCATGAATTTAAATTTACCGAGGAAAAATCCAATGTACTTTTCAATTGTATGAGGAATAATTACTGGTTCACTTTTGCAAAAGTTTGTATCAAGAGCATTTATGATTATATGTCCATCGAAATTCTTTAGATTATGAAAAACAACAGGATATTGTTCAGGTATTCGATACTCAAGGTTGCAATTCTGATGAGCGGCTCCTCTATACACACCAGTGAGATGGTCATGATCGCGAACTCTATTAGTTCCTAATGGCTTACTGCATATATGACAATCAATTGCATCTTTAAAATTTCGTGGAGTATTTAATTTACTAACTGCACTGGAGAAACCATCGCCAATCGCAGGCAAAATTGAAACTATCATTAAAGTTATGGAAATGTATGCATCCATACCGGAGCAGCATAAAGATTTTGTCAAGTATATTGTAGAACAAACTTTACATAAAGTTTGTAAAGACACAATCAAATATAAAAGTGCCAAAGTGGTAAAACAATCTAAAGAAGAGATAATGCGGATGGATAAAGCATTAAATATTGAAGCTGCCAAAGCTGAGCGGTTGTATCAAGAAAATTTGCAACTAAAGCAAATGTTAGGCATAATGGATGCCAAAGATTTGACATTTGCACAATATTGTTTCAAGGAACTCCAAAGACTAACTCAGGTTCCAGAGGAAAAGATTACCGAAAGATTTGAAAATCAATAAATTTCATTTAATTTCATCCCTTTTGTTTGTTTTAATTTAGTTGTTAAACTTTGATTGAGCGTGGGAAAGCTTAGCGTGGGAAAGGGTGACGCGCGCGCAAAATTACTTAATTTTGTCTTAAGTTGACAATTTTTTTTTTTGGTTCAGACCCGGGCTTTGGCCTAGAGTGGCCTGGCCCAGAAAAACAGTTTTGGTCCGGTAAAACAGTTTTGGAACTGTTCCGGACTTTTACTAACTACTTAGCTGCACCTAGAAATGCTACAACCTGTTGAATCAGATTGAATTGGATGCAGCCATGAGGAATTTAATACAGAATTTGATACTCGGTTGTTTGCCAAAGGTATATTTTGGAGGGAAATAAGATTGTCTCGAAGAACAATCAGCTGAATTTGTTGAGCTTAAAAGTGGTAAGAGTAACAAATCCCCAAAAAGTGCAATTGTCAGCTTACATAAACTTTAGAGATGGCAACAGAACGAAATTCATTCATCCATTCATTCATCATTATATTAGATGAATCGTGCATACAAACTAGCTAAACGAGTCTATGATAATTGAAAACCGTTTCCACAAACCTGTTGTAATCCAAGATAGTAACAATTTATCCTTTCTAATTATTCCAGAATTAAATTACTTATTTCCACTAAATTAACCTTACAGATGAATTTAATATTAGGAATATCCACATTGCTCTAAACAGTGAAAGCGACATCATTTTGTGCTTGTGCACCATTTTACCCCATTGTACAGGGGATTTTTATCTATTGCGTTTGTACGCAGTCATAACTTACGGCACTGAAGATTCCGAATTTTAACCATGTGCTTCCTCAAATTGAGGAACCATATATTGAAACTTTTAGATCACTCAGTTATATGAACTTCAAGTGACAAGGCAACGTTAGAAAGGCGCTATCTTTTTTGAACTGACATATGTTGATAACAAATCAATAATCATGCTGTTTTCATGCATGTAGTGATGGGGTGCATTTAGATGCATGTGTAGATACACTTTTATGAGCATTCAAGTTTCCTTGAGCTTGGTAATTCTGGTTTTGAAAAACTCGTGCATCTCTTTAATGATAAAAATTATTGACTCACAACTAACACCGAACTGTGTTAGAGTGTTAGAAGATAGCAGTTTATGACCTTTAATGTCATTAGCAGTCAAATAGTAGAGCGACCTTGAATGATTTTGAAAGCTTTAATTGTTGATAATCACAAGAACTGAAGATATGATTCAATTCGCTCGTGGTTCAAATCTGGGATCAACCGTTCAATCAAAAAGAGGGGAAATAAATTCAGTTGCTGCTGGTATTTCAATCAATTTAGAGTTTTATGAAGCTCAGAATCAACTTTACAATGCTGATGATTTCATTGATTACCTCAAAAATTATTAGATTTTATTTCCACTTGAAATTGACCTTAAATATGGATAACTTTCATTTCCATAATTCCATGGTAAACACTTGAAGCTACAATCAAATTTTATTACTTCTTTATCCCTAATCACCCTTTTGAACCAAATGGAGAACATGTTTAATCAGTTGAAGTATTAAATGAAAAGCTTGTCCATGCTTTAGATTTGAGGAACTGAGGACTGTCAAAATTACTGGAAAAATACAAAAATTTATCACTAAGACTACAAGGAGCTCCAATCGACACGGTGTTCATGATTAACAATAACATTCAGGGTTAAGTCTTAAACAGTCTTTTTTTTAAAAAACGTTAAAAATTAAGGTTAATGTTAAGTACGACCAACTTTAATTTATCGTTAGTGATTAAGCCTTCTTGTGCATACCAAGCAATTCTGTGTTTTGTCTAGACTATGTTTTTCCAATTTGAAATGAATGTTTTCAAGATAATTAACGCGAGGAGACATTAATTGCGATTCTATTGAGATAAACAGCTATTTTACGAGCAAACAAAAAAACAGCGAAAGAACGAAGATAAGCATGAAAAATGGTTGCAAATCAATTTAATCACAATTACTGGTCACATACTATGGTTCATTTGATTGACAATTTGCTAAGACACCTCATCCGAACGCCACATAATACGCACTTAACATCAAATTTTACATGTGGCTCGATAACGATTACTGTTCAATTTTTACAATAATAAAAACATGAAATCAAGGAAAGAAACTCGTCAGGTTCAAGAAGCTGTTAAAGATGATTGACACCAGATTATCAAATTAATCAAATGTAAACAGTATCCAACAATCAACCGAGAAAATTTTAACGAACCAGAAATAATTTAATAGTCGATTGTTTTCCAATGATGTATTTCAATGAGCAATAATGTTGGGTCCAAGCACAAATCAGTTGAATTTGTTGAGCTGAACAGTGGGCACAAATGTACAATTATCGGCTTACATTACGAGTAACAAGAAAGAAATTCATTCCGAAATGAATTTGATTACTGGTCATGAAATATTAATTAGAAGGCTTAGGGAATTTTCAATAAAATTAAAACCATTGTTAAGCAATTAAACAAAATTTAAAATATTACATTGAAATGCTTGTTCACATAATTTCACTAGGCAATGTTATAGTAATAGGCTGTACATTTTAAGGGTTTTTACTGTAATCTGATAATATTCTGAATCTCATCCCATTTAATTGTCAATTTCAACCGTAAATAATATTTTTTTATTTTGATTTTTGATACCCATTTAATTTAACATTTTTTTAAAAATAGACTTTTCTTCCTGATCTAGTAACCTTGGTTTGTAGATCAGAAAGCTTTTGTTGTACAGTCACCCTTTAAAAACTGGACCGTTCGGAAACAGAAAATAGTTTTCTTTCAATGGTCCCTTTCAAGGCAGGGTTTAAAAATTAAATAAATTTAATTTCAATTTAATGTAATGGTTAACGAACTTTAAATTTGATCTCTGTTCGTAAAAATGTTAACCAGAAAAACTCATAAAACTGGTTTGTGTGGTGATAATTTACGTTAATTATAAGACTATTAGGCAAGAATGATAAATGATGAAATTGATCTGACCGATCAACAGTTAAAATAGGCCATTTCCATGTGCAGTTCCTGTGGGGTGACTGTAAGGCGTTTTGGGTGTTTTGGTGATGTCTAACTGAAACAATGGTACAATCAATAAATGTTGACATTTGGCTGGAGCGAGAAGTTCCATTTAGTCCTTGAATGGATTCATCATCAGAGGCTTGATGGTTGTTGTGAGGTTTGACGATCATCGTTCCTTTAAGCGATCGAACAATAGTGATCATGATCGAATGAGTAATCGATTAAAAAAAACGATCAATGAATCGTCGCTTTGATCGAGATCGTTTCTTGGATCGAGAAATTAACACAGTTTTACAGGGTCAGAAGCATGAATTTTGATTGAAGTTTACAGATATAAAATTAGAGTACAATTAAAATTCAACACAAATTGTGAGACAACACAAACAATTATTGTAAAATAGTCATACA